TATACTAAAATGTTTAGTATAAATATGGACATATTTGATGTTCAATTTTGTTAAGTTTTTGGCTAAGTTTTTCAAGAGTTGAAAAGAGAGAAAAGAAGAAGTGTTCTTCAAAATATAAAACAAGAAAGAGTTCTTGTAAAAATCTCCTCAAAAATATATTCTATACTTATTGAATAAAAACCGAGTAGTTTCTACTAGCGAAGTAACTATTCCGGAACCGGATTTCAAAAGGTGGACACGATTAGAGGGAAAACATTTGGATTCCTAAAGCGAGTAACATCAAGAAGTGGACGTTACCAAACCGGGAATTGATTTCCTCATCCATCGTCAATTTGAAGGAGTTCAAGAACAAAGGTAAATTTTAATTTACTTATAACAAATCAAAATTTGTATTATTACATGTTTTTAAATTTACTTATAACAAATTAAAATTTGTATTATTACATGTTTTTAAATGATGACGATTTGTGCATTCGCTACATGTACGTATGAGTTGAGTATTTATACGATAAATACTTGTTTTTGAAACATAATTTTTCTGCTGCGTATAACTTGTACGGTACAGGCGAACCCAACAAAATAGGGCTAAAAAGTGTTGAATTCATGTTGGATATTGTGCTTTAAATTAATTGGTTTACATTTGCTTTATGATTTTTTTTACTGATAATAGGTAAGCATCAATTTTCATTTAAATGAAATGCCTACACTTCTAACACTAACCTACCTTTCAAACAGAGTTTTGTTTTCATTATTTTTCCTTTTTAAATGAAAAGAAAAGAAAATTCAATTCCACCAAAATAATTACATATCTCTAAGTATGTATAAATATTTTTTAGAAAGCTAAAAAAACATTTTTCTTATTAACAATTCCATTTTTTTTTTAATCAAACCCATGTCAATATCATTGCACACCATAATTACAAATTTCATGACTCGCATATTGGATCATTTTTTTTTTTGTTTATAATATAACTAGTACAACACCCGTGTATTACACGAGTGTTTGTTAAAATTAATTCTTAAATTTTAAAAATAATGAGAAAACTATATTAAATTTAGTTTACTTTTTTACAAAAAAAATAAAAAAATATATTACTATATATTTTAGATTGATATGTGTTACTTATGACTTACATGTGTTATATTATATTAGTTGTTATAACTTATATCATATAACTTCTTGAAATAAATATATTAGTTGATAAATAATTTTATTTTTCTAATTAATATTAAAAATAATTTTATTATTGTTATAAAGATAAATATAAATTATTATTTTTTATACATACAATATG